TTTTATGGACGTTGGAAGCAATCCAGTGTGCACAACATTGCCCAATAAATCCATCGAACGAAGCAAATGTTCGGCTCGATGTACAAACACGAGACCTTTTGAGGCCTCTGTGAGTACTTTTTGCCAGTACACCAGTGGCTGTCCCCATCTTGGGATGATGGTGCCGTTTTGCTTTGTATTTTTGTGTAACGATTTCAATTTTTTCCTTGATTGTGCGTATATTTAGATCTCTATGGATATTTTCATTACGCATATACCATGGTGCGCCTCAATGATTTCGACTCTACCCCATAACTGGACTCCATACGCCCATATCGGTTTTATAGACCCATTATAAAGAAAGACTTTGTTTTGTCAATACGAACTGGAATATTTAAGCTTCAGCTGAATTCAGAAATGTGTCGCTTCCAAGTTAGTTGTCTATATAAGTGAATGCCAAGGGCACGTGTTTGGACTTAATGTAATAGTGATGTGTTCGCACTTATTTTCCTTAACTTTTATACGCCATTTTGCCAGCAATTCTTCAACTAGTTTAAAGTTATAGAAAACCAACTTAAGTTAAAAATTAAGTTGAATTTTCTAATAGCGGTCGCCCCTCGGCCGGAAATGTCAAAGTATATTTCTGATATGAAATGAAAGACTCCACATAAAAAAAACATCAGCTGTTCGGAGGCGGCTTAGCATAAACTGTAGGTCACTCCAATGCTTGGAAAAACATCAATACGAGAAACTACAAATTGGAATAGAAGCTGGACCGAAAATCGCTTCCGAGTTAACAAAGCGCCACTTATGTATATATAAAGTTACTAAACCCACATTCAAATTTCTTCGAGACCCTTTAAAGTCCGAAAAATAAGGGGCCAAAGACGTTTTCATCGTATCCAATACCTTAAAGCGAATTCGTCGTATTGTCCATGTAGTCCTATGCTGCGCTTAGCTAATCGTTTCAACACGGTATTCTCCATCGCACAAATGCTGAGGACAGCTGATTTTCCGCAAAGATTTTCTCTCAAAGCCGACTCATCAAATATTGACACCTTCAACGTTTCTACACCATAAATTAGCACGAGAATGATGTGCGGCTTGTAAAGCTGGGTTTTTTTTCGACGAGGAAGGACCTGAGCCTTTAATTTTATACTCAATCCAATGTAGCATCGGTAGGCAAGACTTTGTATTTCTTTCTTGTTAGTGTTAACGCTGGTTCCTAGATATACGAAATTGTTTACGACCTCGAAGTTACGACTGTCGTGGGAGTCAAGCCGTAAATGTTGAACTGAACTGAACGACTGTTTGTTGAAATTTCGTTTTGTCCAGGCTCAATACCAGACTCCCGTCTTTAAATGCAGGGCTTGCCAATAAGAGAACAGCTCTTGTCAATGAAAAACTTCTTCTTTTTTTTGGGATATTTATTTCAATGGCAAGGGAATCATACAAAATTAATAATGGTATAAAATATCAGCCAAATGGCCGCTACAACTACACGCTTACAGGACCGTATCCCTTTTTTGAAATTTTCCTTCCTCAAATCGCTAAGTGCATACTGTAGGTATGAAGCTTCACGAATTCCATCTTTGAGGTCTTGCACTGACGTAGACATTATCTCTCACGTGGCCCCAAAGGAAGACGCCGCAAGGTGTTAAACTGCGAGATCTCCGTGGCCGATTGCGATCAACTCTTCGAGAGATAAAACAGTCCGGAAACTTTTCCTTCAAAGATCGATGGTTTCCTTGATTGTATAGGACGAAGCGCCATCTTGTTGAAAGTAAACATTGTCTAGATCAATACCATCCATCTCCAATCATTTTCCAATAGCGCGCTCCATTCACCGTAACTGTAGCTCCAGCCTGATTGGCAAACTTGGGTTTTCTTCTACACTTTGTTGCTGCTGTGGCACATTTTTCTTAGCGATGTTCATGTGCTTTTTTCTTCACATCACTAACTCGTTCCAGCAGCTCCATTTTCCGCATCAATTTCTGTATTGTAGCCCGCCAAGGGGCTTCACGACAACAGAAAAATGTTTTAGTTTTTTGTAACGTCTCTGAGATTTTCGCTATTTTTTTTAGTGAATTTTAATAATGTCAATGTGTTTTTGAAGCGTGTATCCTTCCATTTTTATTACTGGCGTAGTTTTTGGTTGTCAAATGTCAAAAAATTACAACTTCGAAAGTGACATCTATCGGAATGGTATTCAAACAACCTCTTAATGGAAAACCCTCTATGGTCGTTCGATTTCCATGATTCTCGGTGAAAATGCTTCTTTGTATATAAGTGTGTAGCGTACCAAATCTCACGCTTGTAGAAACTCTTTTTACGGATTTTTTACCTAAATCCTCATATCTGAACAAATCGTTTATTTGGGGGCCATATAATTTTCAGTCCCAATTCATCAGATGTGTACAGAGTGCCAAATTTCATGCTTTTAGAAGATTTTTTGACAAATTGACAAATCGCAAATCTATAAAAAAGAAAAAAAATCGGTCGCATATATGCACTCGACAAACGATCGGTTAAATGCACCAAATTTGGTATACTAAAATATTTCACGAACTGGGGTACTAGTTTCCGTACAAACAGACGGATGGTCGTATATGGCTAAATCAACTCAACTCTTCATTCTGACGCGATCGGTATAATTTTTAATGGGTCTATCGCTTCTTCTTCATTCATAGTAAAAATATTTCCTCTGTCACGTGTACAACTTTGCTTCCGCCGTTTTCCGATAGGTGGCTGTACCGGCTGAGGCTGGTTGAAAAATATAGATACTTTAAAGGCATTAAAGTGAGTGTGGACAATGCCTAACGAATTGTCATCGCCGTTTCAGTAACAGTTGTTCGTATTTTCGTATTATTCACGCTCGAAAATGTCCGTTTATGTGCCTAATTCTCTCCATTTGCGTGAAGTTTTACTTTTCTGTTACAATTCGAAAAAAAATGCAGCTGAAGCGCATCGAATGCTCTCAGAAACTTACGGTGATGCTGCTCTGAGTAAGAGTGGTTTCAACGTTTTAAAAATGGTGATTTCGAGGTCGAAAACAAACATGGTGGTGTAAGAGAAAAAACCTTCAAAGATGAACAACTAGAAGCATTGCTTGATGCAGATTCGTGCCAAACCCAAGAACAGCTTGCCAAATCGTTGGGAGTGAGTCAGCAAGCCATTTTAAAGCGTCTCAAGGCCCTGGGCATGAATCAATATCAAGAGCGACATGAGAAAGTCATCCTCCAACACGACAATGCTCGGCCTCACGTCGCAAAAGTGGTCAAAAAGTACCTGGAAACGCTGAAATGGGAAGTTTTGCCCCACCCGCCGTATTCCCCAGATGTCGCCCCTTCTGACTTCCACATATTCCGTTCGATGGCACACGGCCTGGAAGATCAACATTTTCAATCCTTCGAAGAATTGGAAAAATGGACTGCTTCGGGGATAACGTCAAAAGAGGACTCCTTTTTTCGAGCCGGGTTCCGAAAATTGCCGGAAAGATGGGAGAAAGTTGTCGCTAGCGAAGGACAATACTTTGAATAATATATCTGCAAGCACTTTTTCGCAATAAAGCTTTTAATTTTGGAAAAAAAAAACGACGGAAGCAAAGTTGTACACCTGATATAAATTTTTTTTGGGTCTAGTACCCTCGCACTCATAATAATAAAAAGGTGGATTTTTATATTTGTTTCGGAAATTATATAAAATAGCTAATGCCAGCACAAAAAATATTGCCAAATCGATCAATAATTTTTGTAAAATACCGTAACAATGCTAAGTGTCAAAAGAAAGTAGAGGTTCTTATATCCGCTGAGTGTATTCTTAATCTAGTTCACAAGTTTGTAAGAATTTCCGGGAAGACTCACACTCCTCAATCGCAGTATGATTTCTAAGAAGTGAATAGGCCTCGCACTCCACCGTTGCATAAACGCGATCTTCCTAAACTCCTTCCCTGCTTAGCCTTTATTATCTTTATATAAAGAATTGTAAGAGAATAAAAATTATTTATGACCAAACCTTTATAATTTACAAATAACTAATACATGTGTAGGGAGATATGTGATGTGTGTGCGGGTAATCATGAATAAGTTTATGATTTACTATATTCCTGGAATTGAATGACATTACGGCAGTGCAACACCGCAGGAATCATAAAAAAAATAAAATAAAATATAACTTTCAACTGAATGCGTTCATAAATGAGGATCCACTTATCTTTCAAGTAAAAAAAAATAGAAAATACTCTAACCGAGATAAAGACGAGAATGAGTTACCTTTGATAAAGACAAAGCCGTGCGCACTCGCAGCCGCAGCCCGTGTACTGGAACCAAATGAGTGACTGTGGTCTGTGGCGTACGGAGTCGTTGCGGAAAAAACGTTCGAGGCCAAAGGTGCATGCCACGGTGGAGAAGTGCACCTATGCATACATACATATATATATATATATATATATATACTACTCCACAGATAATTATGTATGCACTCGTAAATAAATAAAAGTGAAGACAGTTCGCTGACTGTACAGGAAGACGATGTCTCTTGATTTCATTTATCTAATCTTATCGGGGAGCAGAAATGCAAATAATGCAAGATCAGCAACAGCGAAACTATAAAAAAAAAATAAAATAAACAAATTAAACGCTCAAGCAGTTGAGTAGCGAGTTTTTTTTTTCATTTTTGCTTTTGACAGCTGGAAATCACAGAATTCCACATGAGACATCAACAATCTCAACATTTCGAAACGAAAAGTCCTGTGCGTGTCTCTGTAGTCTCTGATAAGCTATGTTCTCAATGTGTTGTTGTCGTCTTTCGCGGGAAGCGCAAATAAAGTCAGCAAATTCCATAGTGCAAGAGAGATAAGGTAGGGACAGTCCAACGACGCTATCGCTGGCAGTACAAAAAAATAGAGATAAGTGGCCAGAACATGCCACCGAACGGTACGAGATGAGCAAACACGTACCGACGTCGGGGCCACTGTGGGACGCGTCGCAATGTGCATGTGTGTATATATAATATATACGTAGTACCTATAAATAGCTATGAATTATATGAACTCTTTATTATGATTACAACTGGCATCAGTAGCTATGTACATATATGTGCGCATACGTTTGTATTGGAGACTCGGAAATTTTTTTCCCACTTGTCGACATGATGAAATGAGATTTTATTCACAATAATTTCTGTTATCAACGCCGTGCATAAAATGGCGCGCATTAACTTGTCTGACAGACGCTGATAAATTGAGCGCTGGGCATTGAACGTTGCAAGTTTGCAACGTGATCGGAGTAACAAAGACGACACAAAAGATTATAGCCAAGATTGGCAGACAAAGAAACTCGAGATAAGGAAATTAATTATCGAACGTTCGGCAAACTATTGTAGGAGTTCAAATTTTTTTAGGTTTTCAATACGTTAATCCATTAAGATATGTAATTAAGCGATGCTCCAGTTATGAAAGGCATTTTTAAAGATCCTTCACTTCAACGCGGCAAACTGCCAGATCACTTCCCCTCAGCAGAGGATCTCAGCCTCTTCGAGTACATTTATTCCATGAAATTGAAGCTCTTCCCTCGGAACTCGCTTAGAATAAATCGTGGTTCCCTTCATTTTGTTGACAAAATATCAAGACGGCCACCGAGGCAGGAGAAGCTGTGCTGAAAATCACTTCTGCGCCAATGCTCTATAAAAAATATATACATATATTTATTAATTTATCTTAATGCCCACCAAATCGGCACAATTGCGCCTTACTGAAATGGTTCTTACACAACTTGTCGTTTCTTTAGTTGTTTTTATAACTTCCAGGTATACAAAATTGTATATTAACTTAGTATGTAAGTGCCGCAAGAAGAAGATATAAACTCATCAAAATTTATACTGATCGTGTCAGAATAGCGTTGATTTAGCCATTTTCGCTTGTACGTAAAATAGTCCCTCAGTTTTAGACGTATTTCAAAGAATCGCATCTGTCGGAATCAGCCAGATCGGACCGCCTTAGGTACCCATTTCCGTAATATTATACTTTGAATAACCTTAATGATTTGCCAAATTCTTCAGGATCGATCAGTACATTGTTAAATGAAAGTCCCAAGACTTATTGTCCTTCTTCCTTATTTTACTCAAACAATTTATTAACTGCTCAATTCTCTTTAAACCCATAGACTCAAACCAGCAGTGCGCTCTTTGCTCTATTCACGTTTTCATGCATGCAACTCTAGTAAGTTCTTGTTTGAATGTTGTCGATAACGAACATTCGTTACACGCGTTCTCCTGTTCACCTTACATTTGAATTTGGCATTTTAGTCACAACCTATTTTTACTCCTTTTCTTCAATAAGTTTACTTCATTTCTGTAAATTAACTTCAAATTATATTTCATTTCGATTGTCATTTTGATTACAGTCGTAGAGCGAAAACAGTCTTTTTTCTGAAGTGTCGCTGTCATATTTGTTTTTTGTCTCTAGTAGAATTTCCCTAAAATTAGTAATTGAAAAGTAGCAAGCAAAGTTGTATAAATTTTTAGTAAATTGAAAATATTTGATAGCTTGGAGATTCTGGCGCAATTGTTGGGTTAGTGAAGGAGGTTTTAGCAAATTTGGCTTTTTTCATACTTAATCTTTCTCAAAAACCACAGTATTATTCCAGCGTCGCTCTAACATCTCAGTAACACTTTAACAAATTATCTTTTGCTTTGAAATGTAGAAATAACCTCATATTTTGGATTTTTTCAACCTCGTGTTTCATTCAGGGAACATATATATTGGGTTGCCCATAAAGCAATTGCGGATTTTTTAAAAGAAAGTAAATGCATTTTTAATAAAACTTAGAATGAACTTTAATGAAATATATAATTGCCATTTTGTTCGATAACCTTTTGCCATCTTCCTGGCAAATTTGGTATTCCACGCTCATAGAACTTCTGGCCTTTATCTGCAAAAAACTGAACCAAGTGCGATTTTATAGCCCCATCGTTGCCGAAAGTTTTACCATTTAAGGAGTTCGGCAAAGATGGAAATAAATGGTAGTCTGATGGTGCAAGGTCAGGGCCATATGGTGGATGCATCAAAAGTTTTTAACACGTCGATGTCCTACTATGCATCAGCTTCATACTAGCTTAATACTAGTTCCTTTAGGCATGTTGAATTTCTACATTACCAAAAAAAAAAAAAATAAATCAAATAAAATTCGGTTCGCCGACTGCGAGAAGACCTCTAACCACTAGACTACCGTTATGATATATGGAGGAACGGAATCTGCACACTTCAATAGAACTTTTTAGGAAATGAAAATCAGACGTGTCATACTTAAAACAAAAACAACATACGAATGACTTGGAGGTAAAAATTTCTGTATCACCAAAAAATTAAAAAATTAATAAATTTAAAACTGTTTCCAACTGAGCACGATCGTATAAGGATTAAAAATTAACCACTTGTCTCGTTGTGAGTGATCTTTTTTTCTCTCTCAATATTTCTATATCCTGCATAATTCACTAAAATTACAATTGTTAAGTATACGTAAGCGCACGCTTTATAGTTGCTGTGCTTCCGTGCAAGTAACTGCAAGGAAACAGATACCGTTTCCTCAAGCGCACGCCTATAAAGTTCCAGCTTCAGTCAACGTATGTTGTCATCTATCTGATTTACAGTCTCTGGCCACTTACGCTCCTGGTACGCTTCTCGGTAACAAAAGTTAGTAAACAAAAAGCTGGCTAAGTACGGAGTTTCAAGTAATCGGTCTCTGGTCCACTTCCTGGTGGGTAAAAATAAAACTTCATATAAATCAGTCTTGCTCTTTTGGAGGAACTTGGTTCCAAACACTGTTACATAAATTTGTTTACCCTCATCTTTGTTCGCAAAGTAAAGTAAAATTATAACATACATACATATATATGTATTGTATATTGATGAATACGAAGTCCTAGACCTAGTTTTTGTTTCCCAGTGGGGTGCTAGAATTATCAGGCTACTTTGTGATCTTACTCTGGAGCATGCTATATATCTACAATTTTTTAAGTCCGCTTCTGACACCATAAGAGTTTCACCTAGAAATTTGTTTATGGCTACTGCGCAGCATGGGAAACTGTATTCTCTTGAATTCGAGATCTGGGAATTCACCAAATAAATACAGTTGAAAGCAACATGTTGGTATAGTAGCCTCGACTACACTTTGAAGCACTACTTTCACCTGCAATCTGGTATCATTGCCTAGCTTTGGTGGATTTACATTGCGCTGAGTTGGGAGACTGGTACGCTTTAGCGTATTTGTGAACTCTATGGAATAATAAATGGAATCAGCGGTGTTTATCAATGAGTCGACAGGTTTATACTGATATTTGACCTCTTAGATTGATATGAAATTATTTCTTTATCATTGAGCCTTGGCCATCGTTTGATATTAAGATGGACAAGCTTGTTCGCATCACCCTTTACTGGCTTATCGGGAATAATAATTAGGCTTAGCTAAATTTTCGCTATCTCTTCTGCAGCCCGAACACTTGTTTCTAAAGGTGTAGTTACAGTTATATTGTTATTCGTATTCCATATTTCTGCAACAGGTCTGAGAACTGTCCTGTAGTAACACCTTCTCTCAGACGCATTCTCATATTTTTGTTGAGGCTGACTTTTTTACTGAATGTCATAAATGACATCGTTTCACGAATGCTTTAACTACATCCACTCGCCTTCCCTTGGGCAATACCGTTAAACTCTGCTGGAAATCGTCTGCTAATAATACAGTAACTCCTTTAAATCGGTGCAGCAACCGTTAAGGTGATTTCAGAAAAATCTTCTCTGTTTCACCAAAAGCATCCAAAAAAAAAAAAAACCAAACCCTGCTTCGATACTTGAAAGAATTTTGTAATAATTACGTCTTTGTTCATTCGTTAGAGAGGTTCACTACTTGACAAGACTTCTTCTAAGGAATCGATACCGTTACTACTTCCAATGGTATTTTCTGCTTGAAGCTAACTCTGTACTGTATTTTAGGTAGATTAAATGATAAATGAAAATGTGTAATAGATCAACTTCACCTCCGATTCCTGGAAGAAAAAAGTCTTCCCCACCACGATTGTTTGGGCCCAAGGCTAGAGTTTTATGTCAATCAAACGATTTGAAAATCATGCGATTTTCTCGAAAAGATTGGTTCCAGGTTCTTTCTTATCGCAGACATACGCCGTGCGCTGAATAAAATCTCCAAGTTTCATGTCTCCACGATCAGGCGCTGAGGCTGAGGGTATAAACGTCAGACGTCAGACATAAAATTACGGCAAAAGAAAAAACTAGCCTAAATGATCAGTTAATTGCGATTGATCCACCCAAAGAATATTTGTGCACACACTCATCGCCCAATAGCCCACTGCATGAACATCTCAATTAGTTTACCTCGACACCACCCCAACACTGTTTGGCGAGTCCACACCAGCAGCAGCCGGGCTCATCGGTGTTTCTCATGCATAGTGTGCTCACCGATTAATCGCATTGTAAACAGTGTATGAATACACCATTCAAATTGTTGATGTGTACTTTATAAACAAATATATGTGCACACATGCACACATACAAATGTTTGTATGTTTGTTTGTATGTTTGTTTGTATGTATGTGTAGTTGATATGGTTTTTTCTATGATGATTTGTTTAATTTGTTTCTACTTTTTTCACTCGGCAATGTGTTATGGTTGTTGTTTAGTTTTGTTTTTGTTGGCTTTGCGCCTTTGCAGTGACTCGGAGAACAACAACAAGCAACAACAACTCATTCACCTTACTTACTAAGCAGAAAATGCTTACGTAAATAGTAAATAAAAATGCAAAATAAAAAAAAAAAATAAAAACCAACACAAAAACAAAAAATGCAAAAGGAAAATAATAATAAATACACATATGTACATATATGTATGTATAGATATATGGATGTATGAGTGTCTGTGTCGGTGGCTGTGTACCTACGTCAACATAAACATCAACGTCAGCGACAAAGTAACTAAAACGACAACAACAACCAAAAAAATGAAACAAAGAAAACAACAACACCAGAGTGATGAAAATATCAGCCAATTTTAGCCGAATCCAATCTCAAAATATTAGCAACGCGCAAATATAACCGAAACATTTCCCGGGTATTAAGTCATGAATTATCCATTTACGCTCTTTGTTTGTTTGCTTGTTTGTAGCGAGTAAACATACATCACAACAACAACAACAACAACAACCAACAGCAACAGAAATCAAAGTAACTAAGCGCACCACTTACTCTACCTAACCGAACAGCACAGCGCGCTGAGCATCGAGCTGAGCGGCGCAGAATGAGCACCAACATCCATGCCACCACCCGAAAGGAAATTGCTACAAAACCAACAAAAAAAAGTGGTGAGGCAAGAAGGAAAAAAGCAACAGTAATACAGAAACGTCAACAGAAAAATATAGTAACGAATCCAAACGGAGCGTAAAGAAAGGAAACGGAGCACAAATATTACACAACACACATGCGATCGGCGAAGAAGCATAGATGGACTGTTTGGATGCACAGACTGGAGACCACTAGCGCAAAGCCAAGTCATGAGAAAAAGTATGGCAGGCAAATTGCTGCTTGAGCGCTTACCCTGTTACCCTGTTGTTGAATGAGGTAGCGACCGGTTTTAAGTGGAGCTGCGTAGAGAGTTACTTTCGTTCTTCTCGTGGTTATGGTGATATGGTAATAATGGCGTCGATGGATTCTTGGAAAACTCTACATGAAACTCACATTATGTGGGGAATTCCAAAATGGAAGTTGACCCTGAGTGCGTGTTTTAAGCCGCTTTGCTTGTCGTTTATGTGTTCCCATTCTACGTCGCCATTGTCGTTTTCACTTATTACGTGTGAAATTTACACATTCTAATGTCAACTGAAACCATTTTTTTTTCTTCCAAATCGTGCTCAATTACATATTGCTGGCAGATAAAATGCGATTTCGCACTTTTGAAGTGTCGTATTTTGAAGTTTTCTGTGGAAATTGCTTGGCTCGTCATCATGGATGTGTCAACAGCAAATGTAGATTATTTTTGTATTGTGAATTTGCTTAGTGAGATAACCGAAGGTTGCAGTTAAACTCGTTATACATTTTTTCATTGAGAACCGAAAATACACGATCTTACAATTTTCGGATCGCTTTATTTGGTCTAACCAAGCCTAGCTCAGCTCGATTTATTGGCCGTTCACTGTTGTTATTCAGCAGAGAGCATACAAAGGCATGCAGGGTTGGGTAACTGCCACGTAAAAACCAGCTCCAATAAAAAGGATAGCAAATTTTCGGGTGAGAATTTTGCACTCCAACGACGGCAACGGCAAATGCACAATGAACTATGATATTTAAAACATACATCTGGATGTTCGGTCC